ATGGCCTTCCCTATGCCGTTCTGTGTCTGATTGTAGGTTCGAATGCCCGCGCGCGCGCGCGCGCGGCGGCGGCGGCGGCGGCGGCGGCGGCGGCGGCGGCGGCGGCGGCGGCGGCGGCGACGACGACGACGACGCTGCTGCTGCTGCTGCTGCTGCTGAAGGTGATGGAGGTGATTGTGGTCCACCTGTGGCCCACCGCCGGCGACCTGGACCACGCCCTGGGCGACTTCTAGGTTTTTTTCGTAATTCGAGGGCCTGGGTTTCAATCCCAGGTCTCTCTTAGTCTGAAACCCAGGTCTGATGCTCGATGCCCAGGTCTCTAGTCTCTGGGTCTCTGATGCCTGACCTTCACTAGACAACACGCCGACGGACGACTACCCCACGGACGACTACACGCCGACGGACGACTACCCCACGGACGACAACACGCCGACGGACGACTACCCCACGGACGACAACACGCCGACGGACGATCGTGGAGTGGGACTGCCGAGTTCAAGTGCGACGATATCGACCGCCTGCTACCAACGATCAAGGATGTGTCCAGCTGCATTGACTGCGTCGACGTTTCGAGCTGCGCAGCGCCGAGCGCCAACCCGACGTCCGCGCCGATGCCCGAGCCGTCCGCCGCGCCGACTGGACCAGTACGACGAGGACAGCATCTACTACCTCGTCACGTTCAACGACAACCGCACGAACTACGCGTTCCGCTCCACGGACCTCGAGCTCCACCAGCCCCGCCACAACTACCAGCTCTGGTGGGTCCAGCGCACGCGCTACAACTTCATCGTCCAGAAGAAGAAGGCCATCCGCGTCACGGAGCCCACGTGCACCTTCGACTCCATCAACGACCGCTACTTCCCCTACACGATCATCCGACCCGACGGGTCCTACATCGATACGTTGTAAGGCGACCTAAAGTCGAGGCGGCGGCATAATGCCTCATCCCCGCGGGATAGAAACGGCATGTTAGGTTGAAGTAGTACTTCAATAATACTTGGACATTTTCTCAAGGGGATCTTCAAGTATCTTCAAGTAGTAGGATACTTGAAGATCCCCTTGATTTTCTTCACCTTTACTGCGAGTTTCGATGGATGATGGTGGACGCTTTTGAACTGTGGTTCTTGCTGCTCCCGGCGGTCGCCCGCGCGGGCCAGTACGGCTTCATCCAGGACGGCTCGACCTGCGGTACGGTCGTCACCTACACGTCGGGCTGGTATAACGTCTGCGACGACGGCTGGGACATCGTCGACGCCCACGTCTTTTGCCGCGACGCTTACGGCGGCGTGGGCTACGCCAGCCCCTCCGGGTCCTGGAACTGGTACGCGAACGATACGACGGTGCAGCTCACCGATGGCGCTTACGGCGTGGGCTACGACGACCTCGCGTGCTCGGGGAGCGAGGCGTACCTCTACCAGTGCGCCGGCACGACGGCGCACAACTGCGGGTCCTCGGATTACGCGGGCGCCTGCTGCACCTCGGGGACGATCCAGCTCCTCGACGGCCCGGACGCCTACTCGGGCACGATCTACGTGCTCAACCCGCATACGAACACCTGGGGCAACGTTTGCGACGACGCGTGGGACCTCGCCGACGCGGACGTCGTCTGCCGGCAGGTCTTCGGGACGGACTACCAGGCCTACATGGCGACGGCGAACAACTACTTCGGGTCCGCGGCCAACGACGGCAACTTCGTCTACGACGACATGGGCTGCTACGGCTATGAGAACTACCTCGCGGCGTGCACGTACACGCACACGCACAACTGCGGCAACGGCGAGCAGGCGGGCGTCATCTGCGTCACGCCGACGCCCAACCCGACGCCACTGCCGACGCCCCGGCCCTCGACGGCCGCGCCGTCGCCGGCCCCGTCCGCGGCGCCGTCTGCGTCCCCGAGCTCGACGCCGTCCGCCGCGCCGTCGCCGGCCCCGTCCGCGGCGCCGAGCTACGGACCGTCGCCCCTGCCGTCCGCCGCGCCGTCGCCGGCCCCGTCCGCGGCGCCGTCTGCGTCCCCGAGCTCGACGCCGTCCGCGGCGCCGTCTGCGTCCCCGAGCTCGACGCCGTCCGCCGCGCCGTCGACGCCCCCGTCCGCCGCGCCGTCGACGCCCCCGTCCGCCGCGCCGTCGGCGTCCCCGAGCACCCCGCCGTCCGCGGCCCCGTCGGCGTCCCCGAGCGCCTCGCCGAGCGCCGGACCGTCGCCCCTGCCGTCCGCGGCGCCGTCGGCGTCCCCGAGCGCCTCGCCGAGCTACGGACCGTCGCCCCTGCCGTCCGCGGCGCCGTCGGCGTGCCCGAGCGCCTCGCCGAGCGCCGGACCGTCGCCCCTGCCGTCCGCGGCGCCATCGGCGTGCCCGAGCGCCTCGCCGAGCTACGGACCGTCGCCCCTGCCGTCCGCGGCGCCGTCGGCGTCTCCGGTCGCCCACACGGGCCAGTACGGCTTCATCCAGAGCGGGAGCACCTGCGGCACGGTCGTCACCTACACGACGGGCTGGTACAACGTCTGCGACGACGACTGGGACATCGTCGACGCCCACGTCTTTTGCCGCGACGCCTACGGCGGCTGGTCCTGGAACTGGTACGCGTACGAGGCGACGGTGCAGCTCACCGATGGCGCTTACGGCGTGGGCTACGACGACCTCGCGTGCACGGGCAGCGAGGCGTACCTCTACCAGTGCGCCGGCACGACGGCGCACGACTGCGGGTCCTCGGATTACGCGGGCGCCTGCTGCACCTCGGGGACGATCCAGCTCCTCGACGGCCCGGACGCCTACTCGGGCACGATCTACGCGCTCAACCCGGCGACGAACACCTGGGGCAACGTTTGCGACGAAGGGTGGGACCTCTCCGACGCGGACGTCGTCTGCCGGCAGGTTTTTGGGCCGTACTACCAGGCCTACATGGCGACGACGAACAACTACTTCGGGTCCGCGGACAACGACGGCAACTTCGTCTACGACGACGTGGGCTGCTACGGCTCCGAGAACTACCTCGCGGCGTGCACCAGTACGTCGAGCCACAATTGCGGCGACGGCGAGCAGGCGGGCGTCATCTGCATCACGCCGACGCCCAACCCGACGACGGCCGCGCCGTCGCCGGCCCCGTCTGCGACACCTCTCCCGACGCCCCTCGACGCGAGCTACAGCTACGAGTACGAGCTCCTGCTCGAGTACTCCTACTCCTACGGCGAGCAGCGGGACCTCGTCGCCGCCCTCGCCGACGCGCAGCCCGAGATCCAGATCTCCGGCGACGTCGAGCTCTACTCGCAGCTGGCCGTCGACTACACCGCGCGGATCTCCTCGGACACCGGGGACCGCGCGATCGACGGCGACGGCTTCACGCGCCTCTTCTACGTCACGGGCCACCTCACGCTCGACGGCCTCGTGCTGAAGAACGGGCTCGCGGACGACTCCTCGTCGCCGTCGATCCACGGCGGCGCCGCGTACGTCGCGAGCGGCGGCTCGCTCGCGCTTCGCAACTGCACGCTGGTGTCGAACCGCGCGTCGCGCTCGGACCCCAGCGGCGTAGCGAACGGCGGTGGAATTTACGCAGCAGGCAGCCTTACTACCACGGACTGCCTCTTCTCCGGCAACTTCGCCGACGGCCCAGATCTCAACTGGGGCTACGGCGGCGCGGTCTACTCGAGGGGCGGCTGGAGCGCGACGCGGTGCGCGTTCACGGACAACATCGGCGACTACCAGGGCGGGGCCGTCTTCGTCGGCGGCGGCAGCACCTATTTGGACTCCTGCACGTTCGCGGGCAACGCGGCGCCGTACAACGGCTACGGCGACAACGTCGGGATGAACGGCTCCGCCAAGGTCTACGCGCTCTCCGTCACGACCGACGAGCAGGACTGGTACCTGCGCGGCGACGCCTACGGCACGCTCGCGCTCTGCGACACGCCGGGCGTCGTCGTGACGGGCTCGAAGGCGAGCTTGGCGACGGAGGACTGCTCGTGGGCCCCCGCGGCGTTCTGGCCCGCGCCGTCGGCCGCGCCGACGACGTCCGGCTACAGCTACCTCTACGAGTACATCACCTTCTCGTACAGCTACGAGTCGACGCCGACCGCGTTCGCCGACAAGAGCGAGCTCCAGGCGGCGGTCGACGCGTGGCTCGCGGACTCGGACGCAGCCGAAGAGACGTACGGACACATCAGCGCGTGGGACACGTCGAAGGTGACGGACATGTCGGAGCTGTTTTGTGGGAATAGGTGGACCTCTACGCATTGCAACACGAACGCGCAGTCCTTCGACGATGACATCAGCGGCTGGGACACGTCGGCCGTGACGGACATGAGCATCATGTTCTACTTCGCTCGCGCCTTCAACCAGGACATCGGCGACTGGGACACGTCATCCGTGACGAACATGTACCAAATGCTCTCCTATGCTGACGCCTTCGACCAGGACATCGGCGGCTGGGACACGTCGGCCGTGACGAGTATGAGCCTCATGTTCAATCGTGCTGCCGCCTTCGACCAGGACATCGGCGCCTGGGACACGTCGTCCGTGACGGACATGAGCCACATGTTCCAGAGTGTGGACTTCAACAGGGACATCGGCGCCTGGGACACGTCGAAGGTGACGGACATGAACGCCATGTTCGTTGCCTCAGCCTTCAACCAGTACATCGGCGGCTGGAACACGGCGTCTGTCACGGACATGAGCAGCATGTTCTACGACGCTCATTCCTTCAACCAGGACATCGGCGGCTGGGACACGTCGTCCGTGACGGACATGGCGTTCATGTACTCCGAAACTAGTTCCTTCAACCAGGACATCGGTGCCTGGAACACGGCGTCCGTGACGGACATGAGCTACATGTTCAACGAAGCTGACGCCTTCGACCAGGAAATCGGCGCCTGGGACACGTCGTCCGTGACGGACATGAGCTACATGTTCTACCGTGCTTACGCCTTCAACCAGGACATCGGCGCCTGGAACACGTCGTCCGTGACGGACATGAGCATCATGTTCTACGATGCTGAGGCCTTCGACCAGGACATTGGCGCCTGGGACACGTCGTCCGTGACGAGCATGGGCGGCATGTTCAACAGTGCCTCCGCCTTCAATCAGGCCATCGGCGCCTGGGACACGTCATCCGTGACGAGCATGAGCAACATGTTCCGCAGTGCCTCCGCCTTCGACCAGGACATCGGCGCCTGGGACACGTCGAAGGTGACGAGCATGCGCTCGATGTTCTACGATGCTTCCGCCTTCAACCAGGACATCGGCGCCTGGGACACGTCGGCCGCGAAGGTCACGGGCTACATGTTCTACAGTGCTTCCGCCTTCGACCGGGACATCGGCGCCTGGGACACGTCGAAGGTGACGTACATGCGCTCGATGTTCTACGATGCTTCCGCCTTCAACCAGGACATCGGCGGCTGGGACACGTCGAAGGTGACGAGCATGGAAGAGATGTTCCGGGATGCTTCCGCTTTCAACCAGGACATCGGCCCCTGGGACACGTCGTCCGTGACGAGAATGTACAAGATGTTCAGCGGAGCATCAGCTTTTGATCAGGATCTCGGTTGGTGTGTCTTAGCGTCGACAGAAGCCGATGACGATGACGATGACGATGACGATGACGATGACGATGCCGATGACGACTACGAATTCGGCGCTTCTTGCTCCGTCGTCAATTGCGGCGTCACCTTCGCTTCGGCGACCTGCGCGCCGTCTCCCGCCCCGACCGCGGTGCCCAGCACCTACGCGCCCAGCACCTACGCCCCCACGACCTACGAGCCCAGCCAAGTCCCGACGGCCTCCCCCAGCTACGCGCCGACGTCCTGCCGCGACGTCTTCACGACGGCCGTGTGCGCGGGCTTCGTCGCGATCACCGCGGACGCGTGCGAGACCGTCTTCTGCCTCGACGGCTGCGGGCACGCCGGAATGTGCGACCTGACGTGCGGGAGTTGCTGGGAGAGCGCGACGCCGGTCGTCGCGCCGACGAGCGGCCCGACGAGGACGCTCGACTCGCCGAGCTCCTCGCCGAGCTCCGCGCCGACCGCGGTCCCGAGCGCACCGACGGCCCAGCCCAGCTTCGGGCGCAGCTCGTATGTCCAGGTCGTGCTGGCCGCGCACGCGACGGACAGCAAGGTCGCCCAAGTGTACGTCGAGCTTTCGTCCGACGTCGGCGAGTTCACGTCCGTCCTCGTGACCGCGACGGCGAACGTGGAGCTCGTCGAGGCGCGGCTCGCCGGCGACGAGGGCACGTTCTTCCGGACCGAGGACGACGTCGGCTGGTTCGGGCAGGCGCGCGCGTCGGGCCACTGGGCGGACCTCGTCTTCGGCGACGGCTTCGACTTCGACACGCTCGACGTGTCGTCCGTGTCCATCTCCGATTCGCGGCGCCGGAGCGTGGGCGAGGACGCGATCGTCGTCTACGAACGAGCGGGAGGCTCCGACGAAGCCCTCGTCGTGGCGCGGCTCCTGGCCGGGTCCGAAGACCAGCTGGAGATCTCCGTCATCTCCGCCGCGACGCTCTGCGCGGTCGGCTTCGGCTGGCAGGCCAACGCCAACACAACATCGTACGAAAAGAGCTTCTCCGGCAGCGTCGTCGCGAACCTCGCGGGCGAGCGCGTGGCCATGTACACGACGGACTGCCTCGAGGGCGGACGCGCGCACGAGCTCGTCACGCTCCGCTTCGACGACGAGTTCTTTATCGAGCGCTTCGGATTCCTCGAGCTGGTCGCGACGAACGCCGCGGGCGTCTCGCTGCCGAGTGTGTCGTCTTTGGTCTACCTCAGCTCCGAGGCGGCGACGCAGACGCCGACGCTCGCGCCGACGCTGACGCCGGCGCCGACGCGCGTCCCGACGACCGCGCCGACGGTCTTCGAGACCTTCTGCGGATCCGTTCCCGGCGACGTCGACGGCCTCGACGGCGTCGACGTGACGGATGCGCTGCTCATCGCCATGTACACGCAGGATCTGGCGCTGCCGACGACGAAGTGCTACGAGCGCATCGATTTCGGCTGCGGCGACGTCAACCTGGACGACGCGACGTCGATCCTCGACGCCGTCCTCATCGCGCGGCACTACGTGGGTCTCGTGGAGTTGGTGTGGCCCGACTCGCCCACGAGGATCCCGACCTACTCGCCGACTGCGTCGTTCTTGCCGTCGTACCTCCCGACGACCTCGGACCCGTCGATGATGCCCACGGCCGAGCCAACGTACGAGCCGAGTGCGGCGCCGTCCTACGCGACCCCCTTGCCGACGAGAAGCCCCGCACCGACGTCCTTTGCTTTCGCATCCAAGGCCGATCTCAAGATCGCCGTGGACGCGTGGCTCGCGGACGCGGACGCGGCGGAGGCGATTTACGGCCACATCAGCTCGTGGGACACGTCGAAGGTGACTGACATGTCGTCCATGTTCTTCTACGCTGATGCCTTCAACCAGGACCTCAGCGGCTGGGACACGTCGGCCGTGACGGACATGAGCGCCATGTTCAACTATGCTTCCGCCTTCAACCAAGACATCGGCGACTGGGACACGTCGAAGGTGACGAGCATGAACTACTTGTTCGAAGAGGCTCACGCCTTCAACCAGGACATCGGCGCCTGGAACACGGCCTCCGTGACGAGCATGAGCTGGACGTTCAGCTATGCTTTGGCCTTCGACCAGGACATCAGCGATTGGGACACGTCGTCCGTGACGAGCATGTTAGGGATGTTTGACAGCGCGTTTCGATTTGACCAAGCCATCGGCGCCTGGGATACGTCAAGGGTGACAGACATGGGCGGCATGTTCATCTACGCTGACGACTTCGACCAGGACATCGGCGCCTGGGACACGTCGTCCGTGACGGACATGTCCGGCATGTTCTCCTTCGCCGACGCCTTCGACCAAGACCTCGGATGGTGTCTGTCGAGCAGTGTCTCGGCTTCGGATTTCGCCTCTGATGCTGGCTGCACGGTCACCGATTGCGGCGTCACTTTCTCCTGCGAACCGCCCACCGTGGCACCGTCGAAGACGTTCGCGCCGACGTACTCTCCGACGACGTCGACGCCGTCGTCGATCCCGTCGCCTCAACCCTATCCGTCGCCGACACAGATGCCGACGCGCGACCCAGAGCCCTGACGAAGTTCGAAATATCGATGGTGAAGCTCCCGCCGCGCAGGTATGGGCCTACAGCCGCGCCGAGCGAGATGCCGGCTCCTCAACCGTCGGCGATCTACGCGCCCACGCCGCCTCCCCTCGACTCGCGCCGCCGCCTCGACGCGCGCTCGGCCCAGCTCCTGCTCGAACCCGCGCCCGAGGGCGGCGTCGCCATACACGTCGACGCCGAGTCCTACGCCGCCCTGTCCATCAAATTCTCCGCGACTCTCCAGAACTACACGTCCGCGCTCTCCCACGGCGAGTTCGTCCAGGGCGCGTCGGGCATCTCGTGGTTCTCGACGGAGTCCCAGCCCTCGGGGACCTTCGCCGTCGCCTACTTCCCGGAGGGCTGGGCCGAGGTCGTCGAGGTCGTCGTCGGCGACGCGGACGGCGTCGCGTACGACGTCGCGATCGTCGTCGCGCCGACGTCCGCGCCGTCGCCCGCGCCGACAGCCACACCTACGACCGCGCCGACAGCCGCGCCGTCCGCCGCGCCAACAACCACGCCTACGACCGCGCCGATGCCCGAGCCGTCCGCCGCGCCGACGTCCGCGCCGTCGCCCGCGCCGACGGCCACACCTACGACCGCGCCGACAGCCGCGCCGTCCGCCGCGCCAACGACCACGCCTACGACCGCGCCGATGCCCGAGCCGTCCGCCGCGCCGATGCCCGAGCCGTCGCCCGCGCCGACGGCCACACCTACGACCGCGCCGACAGCCGCGCCGTCCGCCGCGCCAACAACCACGCCTACGACCGCGCCGATGCCCGAGCCGTCCGCCGCACCGACGGCCGCGCCGTCGGTCAATCCGACGGCCACACCTACGGCCGCGCCGATGCCCGAGCCGTCCGCTGCGCCGATGCCCGAGCCCTCCGCCAGGCCGACGCCCCAGCCGACCTCCCGGCCGACGCCCCGGCCGACGCCCAAGCCGTCCACTGCGCCGACGCCCCGGCCGACGCCCAAGCCGTCCACTGCGCCGACGCCCATTCCTGGAGATCCGAGCGCTGCACCCGTGTTCGCGCCGACGCCCCAGCCGACGCCCCAGCCGACGCCCCAGCCGACGCCCCAGCCGACGCCCCGGCCGACGCCCCAACCGACGCGGAAGCCGACGTGGAAGCCATCGCCCCAACCGACGCCCCAGCCGACGCCCGCGCCGTCAGTCTCGACGGTCGCTATCGACTTCTGCGAAGACAGCACGTCTTGGTACTTCAAGAAAACGAAAAACACGTGCTCGGAATACGTCTCGAAGAAGGCGAAGAACTGCAAGAAGCGGGACGAGTTCGATGTCAAGGGCCAGGTCCGCGCGGCGTCCGCCGATGCGCGCGCGTGCGCGCGAAACGCCCCCGCCGCAGGTCGCGTGCCCAGCGACGTGCGGCGAGTGCGAGGTCGAGGTCGACGACGCCGTGTGCGCCGACTCGACGAGCTGGTACTGGAAGAAGAGTAAGTACGACTGCGACTACGTCGCGAAGAAGTCGAAGCTGTGCAAGAGCAAGTACGCGGACGAGAGCGACGTGTCGAGCAAGGAGCAGCGTCCTGTGGCCGTGACGATTTTCGAGAGATCTCCTCTGGGAAAACGATGAAAAATCGTTACCGTCATGCTTGGTAGGCAAGGAGGCCTGTCCCGTCGCGTGCGGCGAGTGCGAGGAGGAGTGCGCCGACTCATCATCTTGGTACTTCAAAAAGACGAAGAATACATGCGAGAAGTTTGTGGCCAAAAAGGCGAAGAACTGCAAGAAAACGGATAGCTTCGACGTCAAAGCTGAGGACGCGTGCGCGCTGACCTGCGGCCCGTGCTAGCCGCAACCCAGATACCCCAGCCGGCCCCCTTTCCCTTCAATTATTCCCCGCGGCCCGGCTTAACCACAAGTCAGTAATTCGACCAGCCACCGAAATCCACGCGACCGCGAACCTAACGACGACGGCCCGGTCACTTGGCGAACTGCGCACGTAAGCACTTTTAGACCGGCGCGGCCCGGGCCTTGGCGCCGTCGTCGAGCGCGCCGTAGCCCGCGGGGGCCCCGTCGTCGCCC